ATCGTCAAACATATATTTTATTCAAAAATAAAAACATCATCGCTTTCTCAAAATCACATAAAGCCATATTATAATATCGACTGAGATAAAAAATAAAATGAAATATTAAAAACACGACGTATCTCGCGGCATTGCGCGAGTACGCTTCTAATATATATAAAAGCATGAATAATAAGTAAGATAAAATTATAATACTAATATTTATGTATATAATAATAATAATAATAATAATAATAATAATAATAATAATAAATATAAATATATCATTAATATATAATAATAATATATAATATGTATGAATGCATGCACCAATTATATATATTTATAAAGTATTTAAAATATGTATATATTTATACTTCGGGTTTTCGAACGAGTCAGGTGGCCAAAAATCAAACACGACCCCTCGATTTTCCGACTTTCGGATTTCGTTAGATAATGAATTCTCAAATTTGGAAAATACTTATTTCGGGAAATCCTTCTCCTGTTCCATGAATCCAATTTGCATTTGGATGTTACCATATGCATTAAACCGTCTACACCACATCGTAACATACAGTTTAAAACTTTCGTGATACGATTTACAATTTTATTAAACCGTATTTTTCGGTGCGGTTTGTGGTTTTGAATTATCAAACCATACCATATCGCACATTTTTATATATTTAAAAAATATATATTATTATTATGTTGTAAGAAAAAAATAACGATTAGATAGATAAAACATTAAAGTTTTTATTTTTGTAAATAAAATTTAAATCTTTAATATTCAAAAGATAAATTAAACAATAAACTTAAAACGTTTATTATTAAAGATGGCAACTTTATTATCCGGAATAAACAACCCAAACCAATTATCACCATACTGATTGAATCTATTCTTCATGATAGATTCAATAAAGAAAGGGGTAGAAGCAGAGTTGTCAACTTAGTGAACAGAAAAGTAAAATGCAATGCACGAAATTAAAACCAACCTGTTTGAAGTGAGAACTGCACGGTTTAAACTTGTCCTTAAAGATTTTATACGAGACTAATGGTCTCTTGTCCACTTTGTATTTAGCCTAGTTGTAACACTCCAATATCACATTTGCATATAAATCTATATTAACATATATCAAGAAATATAATTTACACATTCGGTTCTAATCTCTTACAAAATAGCTAATCAATTTTTTCCACAAAATCCTTATACGATACATGAATACATAACAAGTACTCAGATACAAAAGAAATAATATGCTAGCCCAAAATCCCATTAAAGCATAATATTATCACTTTACAATTTTTCCTTCCCCTTATTTTATGGTTGTGTCCGACTTGTAATGCACATTTTTTAAAACACAAAATTAGGGTTTGACCTTTAAGGTCTAATGAGAAATCTATTTGATACAATAACAGGGTGAAAAATCACCAAATTATATTTATGAAATCATATTCATAATAATAACAAATATACATCCTTTTTGATATAACAAACTTCATTTATTGTATCCAAATATCAATTAATTTGATAAACACATTAGAGTAAAACTTATCGCATCATATAGAAAATTTATACAATTTCTCGCATCACATGGATGCGACAAACCCATGTCTACCCAACACACTGGTGCGCGAACATCAACTCATCGCAACATACTGTGCAATAAACCCAATTTGTAGCATTATATGGGTGCGACAAAACTAATTCCTCGCATCACACTGATGCAATAACCACCCTTCGTCGCATCAAAAAAATGCGATAAGAATGAACACTTGATCAAAATCCCATATTCTTATAACTCAATGATTACGTCACCCTTATCGAGGTATACACCTTTCCTTGATATGCTATCTTTATAACCAAAATACACCTCTACTTGGTATGTCACCCTTATTTCAACACATGATATAAGTATAACCATAACCCACAATTTTACCAAAAATGACATCAAAATAGTTTTATAACAACACTTTATATATAGAACCATATGGTTCTAAACCTAGTTTCCAAATAAGGAAAGTTCATAAAAAATTAAACCCACCTTATCAATCACAAAGAGATGGAGATATAAAGATGAACACCACCAAATTATCCGAACAATAACACAAAATCTACTTCTCTAGTTACCCTTTTAGGTACAGTACGGATCGCCCCGGGGGCGAGGTCAAACACGGTCAACGAGGTGAATAGTAATCTCGACTTTTGAGGAATTTTTTAAAGACTTTTAAGGGGGATCGCCCCCATTGTGTACGGATCACCCCCGGGGGATCGCCCTCATCATAATATCACAATAATAAGATTTAATAATCAATCCCCTCCATTTATCATTGCTTTTCAAAAATAATCCCAAACCTTATAACCGAAAAACCTAAACCATTAGGGTGGTGCCTGATTGGTTTGAGCTTGACTCCAAACGTCAAAAGTACCTGGAGGTCCATGTTCAAATCCAAAGAGGAATAAAAATCTCTTTGTGGTCACGGAGGTTCAAATGCGGTGACTCCAGACTATCTGCAAAGCAGATGGTCACCCTGAGAATAGTCGACTCGCATAGCAGGTTGGATATCCAGGTTAATAAAAAAAAACTAGTGTAGTTTTTTCAAAAGGGTAAAATTGGTATAAAGAAAACTAGGCATTTGAATGGTGATGATAGAGTGAAGGTGTCAGCTTATTATTTGTGAGTGCTGATGCAACTTTGACTTGTGGTTTTTTTAGGAGGGTTTGGTGATAAACCAATGAAGCCAATATGAATACACCCTAACTTTGACCTGTTCATGACCCTTGATAACGACCACCACCATTGCCTCCTGCTTCATCTTTCGGTTTTTCGAATACGTTTTGTGTATTGAACATGAAAAAGTTAGGCCATGATTTGATGTTGATGCTTTTAGTGTAATCAGATATTTTATGTAATTGAGATTTACATGAGACCATTCACAGCTTATTCGCTCAGCTATACATGACTGTTTAACAGTGTTTTAATGATATAAAAAGTGATTTATTCAGTAAACTTCTAAGGGAAACTTTATACAGATTGCCAAGTTTTTTTTCTTCTAAACCTTCCCCTCTCAGTTAAGAAACAAGCTCTTTTCATCTATGAAAAAACCTTTCCAAACAAAAACATTTTCGATCTACACAAACAGAATAATCCATACAAACAACTTTATCCATACAAGACTCAATAAAAATCAATTGAGATAATAATTGTAAGTTGGAATGCCAACATGTATCTGTTATTGAATTCACCTGACCTGACATGAGAGTACCCGTTCGAAGAACATCTGAGTGCCAAACTAAAAGTTTGACCATTATTTAAATATTATTCATCATTAAGAACAAACAAAAGTTTAACTAATAACAAAATAGCTATGAATTCAAACATACACAAATGGTGTCATCATTCATGTTGTTTTCTCTTCAATCCCCAATATAACAACAAAATTTGCACAAAAATAATATCATCATCACCCACAAACCAAAAATAAAAATAAAAAGAAAATTAATCTTCTTAAGAACAAGAATGCATCTCCATAGATATGATTATGATTATGATGTACAACATGTCCTCTTTTCTGGAATCACTTGTGCAGGCCCAGGGACAATGATCTTCTTACCAGCCAAAGAACCAGTGTTCCCATTTTGTTCTTCATTCACAGCCAGACTTTTCTTGTTAACGATTCTGAAGATTTCTGTTAAAACCGTTAAGAATGCATCTTCTACGTTTGTTGCTTCGAGTGCTGATGTCTCCAGGAAGAACAGTCCTTCTTTTTGAGCAAACTCCTTGGCGTCTTCTGTTGGGACCGACCGTTGGTCTTCCAAATCACTTTTGTTTCCTATCAGAATGATGACGATGTTCTTGTCGGCATGGTTACGTAGCTCTTCCAGCCACCGTGGTATGTGGTCGAACGTCTGGCGTTTCGTTATGTCGTAAACCAACATGGCACCTACTGCACCCCTGTAGTATGCACTTGTCACGGCTCTGTACCTGCGCATCAAAAAGGGTACAATTATAGCAAAATCCAGAACTAAGATATAGAAAGTGCCTTATTGCCTTTATGCAGCCGTCAAGTTTATTCGAGATCCGACCCTCCCAATTAACGAGCCAATTAAAAAACACACCCCTTCCATCTATGAAAAAACTCTCCCAAACAAAAACCTTCCCAATCTATGCAAACAGATTAATCCACACAGACAACTTTATCCATACATGACTTAATGGACAACCAACCAAACAAGGCTATGTTTGGCAAATTAATTGATAAGCTAACACATCGTGTTTGATAAAAATTAGTTGATAAGCTAGATGACAACATAGAATGACAAAACTCCGTCATAGGTGTTTTGGTAATTCATGATTTCATGTAAAATACAAGGGTATTATTGGAAAAAAGTATAAAAGCGTTTGGAGGTTCTTGAAAGTATCTGAACTAGCTTCTAAAAAAGCTAGCTTATAAGTCACCTTATATCTTACCAAACGTTGTTTTTCAATAAGCTCAAAAAATAAGCAGGCTCAAGGTTGCCAAACGTGGCCTAAGGTTAGCTCCAGCACCAACAAAAGGGACAATAAAGAGGTACAAGTCGATATGGATATAGATGCGACTTCATAAAACAATGTATATCGTTAATCAAACTGTTCACTAATTTATATGCATGTTTTTGAATCTAGAATATGATAGTAAATTATTCAGCTAGCTAGAAGATACAAAAGGGTACCAAGATAGACATTATGGTTGGGCGAGAGTACTACTAGGATGGGTGACCCCTTGGGAATTCTTTATAGATCTCTCAGAAGTCATTATAGAGGCATTTAAGCTCTTTATAGAGCTTAAAACAAAGTCTTAACAGGGTTATCCTCGTGTTGCTCCCATTTTTGTCTCTTGTTTCGTTAAATTTTTGCTTTGCAAATTATGGGTCTTCATGGAACAGCTTCTTTACCCCTTGGGGGAGGAAATAAATAATTATGTACATCGTACCCCAAGACCCTCTGCGTGGCATTTACTGGGTTTATTAGGATTCACAATGCGATTTGCACCATCGGAATGGGAAATCTTATAATTCTCATTCCGTCTCAGTCAGCATCTGTCCTTTAAAATAGCCATGTGGCACTCACATGACCATATTGGAGGAATATAATAGTCATTCTAATCATATTTTTAGAATTACCTATAATAATAAGAACTCTCTTCTCCCAACAATCCCCTTTCCCTTTCTATCCACCCCTAGCTATTCGCCGTCTTTCCCACCAGGGTCCCTTCTCCACCACTATCCCTCTTTTATGAACTCAATTCCCTTGTGGAGTTCTGTTGGATCGAAAGAAATGCTAGGAAGAAAACAAAAATCTATTTTTTTTCAATCAACAAAAAGATCAGTTAAGAAGAAAGTTACATAAGGTGTATAAGAGTTGCAGTAGAACTGCATTATACTAGATGCATATACATTTGTGTGTATTTTTGTGTGTGTAAACCTTGGATGGAGAAAACAGTACTCTCAAGCACATGGGATACAGGTTTAAGATGAACGAACAAGTTCATATGTTAAATATATATATATATATATATAGAGAGAGAGAGAGAGAGAGAGAGAGAAATATCTAAAATCCCCTGGTGGATACGGCTTGATCAAAGAAATCTCAATTGGTTAAAAAAAAGCTGATAACAAGCTCTCCATCACCCCACCACCACCACCACCACCAAGTAGATGTCCATACCATATTTTAGTCTGTTCCTACTTTCAACTTTTGTACAAAAATTATTAATTTGCAGGGAAAGGCACCTTGGGCTTTAGATGGTATAACCACATTAAATTGTTATTAAATGGACTATATTGTCCATGGTGATAAAAGCACCATAGATCCTTCGGCCCTCCATCCGCCTATTTCGCCCAGCCAGAACAGTTGCGATTAAATTAGAAGTATGACTCATAGAATCCATAAGTTTCAATAGAAGGGGTGGCCTCCTCTCTGGCAGAATAGGGAGCTCCCACCACATCATTCTATTTCTCAATTCTATAAGAATATACTAAAATAACCAAGACGATTCAAATTAGCAAGCTTCCTCTCCATTTAAATCAAGAACTACAGTTGGACCCGTCCCCCACTTCTCCATATACATCACTCTAGTGAAGAAAAGGATTCATGTCCTTAGGCAGTTAAGCATTCCAAAAAAAATAGGAAGTCGGAGAAATATGATTTGTAAATAAGTGTAAACTAAAAATACAAAGAAAATGAGTGGATATAGAACTGAGGATGCCATTAAATGTATTCATACCCGTTTTTTTGGCTGTGATATCAATAAAGAATTACATAACAGTGAAGATGACCACGGAGGCATGGATCAATTGTTTAACCAAACAAAGAAACAATAGATCAAGTTGGCCTAGAAACTGCTGGTTTTTCCCGAGGAAATGGGAGGATTCTGAACCATTGTGGTAAGCCGTAAGTATTACATTGCAGTAAAGATCTCTGAGTACTTTTACAACCAAAGACCATACAGTTTGTTGTGGAAAATTGTATGGTCTCTGGTGGTAAAAGCACTCGAAACCATACGATTCATTTTCTGAGCAAGCCATTTGCCAATTACCCAAGTATCTATTGATTAACAACCAAGAAAACCTTTGATCGTTAACAGCCCACACACATTTTTTTGTTCTCTTGATTTTCCATGTCATCTTTTAGGATGAGCTCACTAATTTTGCCACATCGTATTCAAATAAAAGTGTTCGTAAATAAATTCAAAATTATTTTTTTGAGATGGAGTGTAACCATCATGTTCAAAGTGCACTATTAGGACCTTTTCCGCGTTTCACAGTCCATAAAAAATACAATCTTCTCTATCTGTGGCCAATTGCACTTTTACCATCTTTTAAAATGGAACTAGATTTCATTTATGAGGTGTAGGAAATCAAGAGAACAATTATTCAGGATGGGAAGGAGTAGGAAGTCCATTTCTACAAACCAACACATTAAAGCAACTATAATGACACATGACCCCTGTGATTAAGACCATTTCCTGTTTCTTAAATTTTCACTCTTAGAGCCTCTTTAACATTCATGCTTTCCGTCATAAATTACACATCTAGAAAAAAAGTTTTCTTGCTCTAGGGGGGTTGTGGAGTAAATATGAAAATCATCAATGAACTAGCTCAGAAGCTACAGTTTTAGTCCACCAACTCCTATTTTGCACTTTTGGTTCCAATTGAACTCTCTTTAATTGATCCAACAAACCCCTTTTAATTGGACTCCATTAAAATGTCATGTTTGGTACAAACATGACTATACAAGAGGGATAAAATGGTCAAATCAGTCTTCATCTTCTTAGCCCAAAATTCAACCCATGGCATACTTGCAGTTCCAAATAACATCTATGGTATTTGTAAATCCCAACTTAAACCAAATAATCACATTGATAGAAAATGTGATTTGTGTCATGGACTATCAATAACTTCCACCATCGTTTTAAGTGAGAATTGGAACTTATTTGGTTAGTCTATTGCTTTGGACTTTGGGATGTTAGAAAATATCCTCAAACAGGATGAGTTCCAGAAGCAGGTGTTTGTAACATTTTAGGCAAATCCAACATCCTAGATTACCAAAAGTCCATTACTTGCAAATCAAAGCCAAGATCTAGATCAGCAGAAGCATACATTATCTACAGATGTACCAAAATCGAAACCATTCCAACAACAATGCTAAATCAAGTATGGAGAAACCCATATAACTCAAGATCTACATCATAGAGAAAACCTTCGAATCCAGACCGTGAATCAGTGAGTAAAAATTCATGATATTATTAGTTGAGCACAAACAAACAGTAAAGAGACGTAACATCATACCGTTCTTGACCGGCGGTGTCCCAGATCTGAGCCTTGACAGACTTGTGCTTTATAACGAGAGTTCGGGTCTGGAACTCGACACCGATAGTGGCTTTGGAATCTAAACTGAACTCGTTTCTGGAGAAGCGAGCAAGTATCTGTGATTTGCCAACCGCGGAGTCTCCGATGAGCACCACCTTAAACACATAGTCTATCTTCTGGCTGGCATCACTGTACCCACCACCGGTGGCCATAGATCTCTCCTATGTTGGTCTGTAAATGAAACCCCAAACGCAGATCTTGTATGGCGTCCGTGTGATTTTTACAAAGCAACAACCGGGAGTAATTGAAGTTAAGCAATGATCGAGATAATATTTGACGATGTTGACATGCGGATGTTGTGGACTTGTTCCTTGGGCGGCTATTTCTTAAATACCAAAAACACCTTTCCTTTTTCTAATCAAACCTGCACACCGCATAATTCTATCGTCATTTTAGATAATTAATGTTATTTATTAAAATAAATTAATTAAAATGATTATTTAATTTATTTTAATTAATTTAATATTCTAAATTTACTTTAATTAATTTAATTATTTTAATATATGTATATATACACACACTCGGACCAAATTTGGTAGACTTCTCTCGCATCCACCACCACTCTAGTGACCTCCTAAATAATCTTGTCTGATTAAGACGTCGTCTCCGATGATCGACCACTAAATACCCACTTGTGAGCATTCGACAACTAGCCCATCTTTGTCCCTGTGACCCTCTCACTATCTATCTCTCTTCCCTCATCCCTACCACAGTTGGTATCATAGTGGTACCACAGTTGGTATCACAGTGATATCAAAGTTTATTTGGTGTGTTTTGGGTATCACGTCGTATGTGTTTTGGGTATCATATTGTGTACCTTAGTGTATTTTGGGTATCGCATGGTGTTCGTCGGAGACTGGAGGTAGGAGAGAGAGAGAGAGGAGATAAAACTTTTAAAATACTTAAAATGCCCTTTAAATATAATTGCAAGTCAAATTATCAAAAATATTAGTTTCATAATTTATTCATTAATTTGTGGTTGAGATTGGATCCTAATTTATTCATTGATTTTAAAATTTAAATTTAAAATATTTAAAATATATTCAAAACGACCATTTCCTTGATTTTTTAATAAATTTAAATCCGAAAATCCATCAACCGTTGATCAAAAGAAAGAACGGTATAGATTGGATTCCATTGGTTGTAACCTTCGGATGAGTTGCATTTGGAGATGCCACTATATATATACACCAAGAGAGTTGGTTTCATCTATAAACCAAACCACATCCCAACACTGAATGTTTTTATCCATATCATTTTTATTTTGACATTTACTTTCACTGGCATTCTCAGTAGGACCAAGACTGCCAGTTGATTTACTTACCCTACATTTGTGTTCAAATTCCGTCTTAAATAACATTGAATTAAACTACCATCTTTTCATAGAGTTTTCTTGCTCCATATTTGCATGAAAATACGATAGATGAATAGTCATTTGACGAAAAATCATTTATTTGAATATCTTATTTTCTATCAAATCAACAGGCTTATTAACTATAAGGAGTGTGAGAAAAAAGATTTGTTCTCTGATGTATAAATCATACAAACCAATTAATTGTAGGGGTGTTTGTAGTCTGCTTTTTTATGGTTTAACCCCCCAAACCACAAACCAAACTGCATTGGCAGTTTCGGAAATTATTCAAACCGAGCGGTTAGCAACAAGTAATCAAACTGGTCAAATCAGACCACAAAAAGGTGATATGATTAATGATCTAATCGGTTTAGATTGTTTGAGTCTCTTTTGAGTTTTAAACTAAAAAAACGTAACATCTATATTCAAAATGAAATTTCTACCAACAAAACATTATTAAAATATAGTATATCGAATTATAAATAAATCTTTATCTTTAAAATAAATAAAGGAACATTGAAACGTCGAAAAAAGGTTAAACAAGTCACCAACAATAGTTGAAATTTGGACAAACATTGAGCAAGTCAAAAGACGATTTGGAATTTGGAATTTGATTTTTGACGGATTTTGAAATTTTGTCAATTAAATAAGGCGGTAAATGGAGAAATTAAAACTAAATACATAATGTTTTGGACAAACTTCTTTTAATTGAGTTATAAAAGTTGAGCTTACAACATGAAATAAATATAATTAATGTATATTTTTTATGATTGGTTCAGTCCAAACCGTTCAAAAAAATGTTCAAACTGCATACTAGACTGCATCGAGCGGTTTGACTTTTTTTCTTCCCAGACCAGACTGGACAGCCAGATCGCTTAAACCGCCAAAAATGGTCTAGTTTGACTTGGTTCAACCGGTTTGAACGGTCTAACTGTGTTTTTGAACATCCTTAATTAATTGAGATATTTCTGGAAATGATATGAGTCAATTTATTATGATTTAGATATTTATGAAAGATTATTTATTATGGATAATACTTTATATTATGAAACAACCGATATATTCATTGAACCAGCTATTCATTAGACTTAATAGATGGTTGAAATTGGCTTACAAAGTTTGTACTAAATAACAGTTTTGTAATTGATATGCACACATAAAATTTGTATAGTTTGGTTGGATTTATAAAATTTGAAGAATGTTTTTAAGTTGTATAAAATGGTAAAAATATATTGAAAGTTGATACAAATTAAACAATATTAGATTATGTAAAATGATTTGACCTCAAATATGTTGTTATTATATGTATTTAGGTGGCGTTTGTTTTTTAAGAGGTGTTGAAGTCTGAAGTCTGATTTCACTTCTGATTTTTAAGAGGTGGTGCTGAAGTCTGAAATCTGAATTAATCAGACTGTTTGTTTTTACGTCTGAAGTCTGGTTCCATTAATTATGCGTCATTCTACGATGATTCTTAAAAAACCCAAACAAAAATAAAACATATAAACAATCAACTACTTAAAAAACCCAAATCCAAGAACAATTCTTATATGTTTTGAACACAGACTCATGCTTCCTGTCGTGGGTTCTCAGAGAGATCGAGAGGTAGAAAACCGAGAGTGAAATCGAGATGCCTTTCTTGAGATATCGAGAGGAAGAAGAAGAAGAGATCGAGATCCGGAGCTTGAGGTGTTTTAGATCGAGATTGAAATCGAGAGCTGAGATGACGGTTTTTTGTTACGACGGTGGTTGTGGTGGTTGAAAGGATGATGGCTTTGGATGCGTCGGCTTCAGCGATTGTTGATTGACGTTTAATTTCTTCTGGGAGGGTTGTTGCAGAATCAACAGATGCAAATAAGGAAAGTTTTCGGATTTTCTGAGGACGAATAGGGATTTTGGAAGGGTTTGTTTGGGGAATTCGGGAGCGATCGGAATTAGAAGATGGGTCGTCGGTTGATGGAAGTGGAGACGGCGGCGGTGGCGATGGTGATGGTTGAGAAAGAGGGGGCGGTGGCGGTGTTGGTTCAGCCATGAAAGGATGGGTGCTGCAATTGGGAGTCGGGTATACGACGGTGTTGATGGGCTGAGGACGGCGGCGGCGGTGACGGTGGCGGTGGTGGTGGTTGAAAGAAGGAAAGGAGACGATGGTAGTGAGTGCTGGTAGTGGTGTTGTTCATTGGATATTGGGGGAAGGAGATGAAAGTCCAAAATAAGAGGTTTTCAGACTTTAATTTACATCTGAATAATTCAGACAAATTCAGAGAAATTCAGCTCTTAATTAAAAAAAAAAACAAACACACTTAATTCCTCAATGTCTGACCGATTCAGACATAAGAGGCAATTAAGTGCTTTTTTAAAAAAAACAAACAGGCCCTTAATCTCATAACTACAAGCAAAATGTATTAAATAGTAATCAATTTTTTAAAATGTATAATTTATTTCATTTAGGGGTTGTTTACTAAATGTTTACTTGGGTAAGTGTCTACCAAGTCACGTTATCTTACCGGACGAATATGGTAAGGACCAAAAGTCTTACCCGGTAAGTGAGAACGATGACTCTTACCACGGCAATCACTTATCAGGTAAATTGTTGCATGCGATGTCGTTTTGGTGAACTAAAATCTTACCGGGTAAGTAAATAATAATGTTAAATTTTATTGGTAAGCACTTACCGAGTAAGTAAATAATAGTGTTAAATTTTATTGGTAAACACTTATCATGTAAGTATTTAGTAAACGATCCCTTAATCTTTTACTAGTTGAATCATGAAGCTTTCATAATGTTATGATAAGTCAATTTTCTTCTGATGTCAGGATTATAATATCCTACTTTTGAGAAATTAGATGTCATGTAAAGTTTAAGCATGATCTTACAGATCTTAACAACTTAATATATTATTTCTAAAATTTTGATCATGGACTACAAACTTAATATATAACAATAAAATTTTGGACTACAAACTTCATATATTCAACTTTAAACAACCCCAATCTACGCTCATCCATCACCCTCGTACACTGACATCCACCACCTTTTTCCCGCCACATCCCTTCTTTCTCCCCTAACGCCTCTCCAATTGACTCTTTTCATTTGCAAATGTCATCAATGACTCCTTACTCGCTATTAAAAAAAACCCTCCAATCAGTCAATAAAGATCGTCCCACCTATTTTAATTCAAGGAACACTTGAGTTTGTTTTAAGAAATGAGAACGGGGATAGGAATGAATATAGTGGAAAATGAGAATGTATAGGTTTATTACATTGTTGTGCATTCCTATGCGTTGTTGATGTTCGGAAATGAAAAAAAAATGGTGGGTATTAATGGGGCTTTATTCATCCCTCCCTCTCTGCCTTGCCACGACGGTGGTGCAAATAGCAAGAGAGAGAGAGAGAGGTCATAAGTTTGTTATTGCCGGGAGATACTTTGATTTTGGGAAAACTACAGGTTGATAGAGAGACAGAGTTGGAAACTCATCATAAGAATTTGAAAATTGGATACAACATTCAACATCTGAATATAATATCCAAGCTTAGGTCCAAAAGACAAAATGATCTGAGTCGTCTGTATCATCCTAGTTTTATACTTCATAAAGTAGTCTTGTTGGAATCTGAAGTATATATTATGTTTTAGAAATAAAAACATATATGTTTTTTCATTTGTAAAAGTCTTATAATTGTCTGTATTGATCTAAGAACAAAAAGCTTTATTCAAAAAGAAAAGACTAGTTAAAGTGAGGCCAAGATCGTCACCGAAGCGGATTCGATTGTCATATAGCCAAAAGAAGATCAATACAATATAAAGTTAAAAGTAGTCTGACAAATACTACTTTTGACAAACTGATTTTAGAGTGCAAACTTATCCAACAAGTTTAGTTCACCAACATTTTTTTATTAACCTGGATATCCAACCTGCTATGCGAGCCGACTAATCCCAGGACGACTACTTGCTTTGCA